TAGGTTTGAGACACCGGAGGTACAGTGTTTTATAATAGCTTATACTTTTTCTTGAATTTCTAATTTCAAATTTTGCTATTTCTAATCTTAACCTCTTTACTACGTTTATCTGATCCTAGTTTCCATTTCTAGTTTTAGTTTGGCTTGAAATAATCCTTTCATAACCTTAAAATGTACCAAGTATATCATCTTAATAGACTCTCGCGTTCATGGGTTAACGGAGTCGTTCGTTTTGGCGCGAAATTCAAACTTCGTAACGGGAAACGGAGCGGAATGAAAATCGGCTTGAGGTTTGTACAAGCGTAAATGCGATAGAATGTATAGGTGTAAGAAAAATGTAACGGTAGGTTAAAAATAGGATATACCTGAGTAAATAAATCACCGAGCTCAAGATCCCCTCGAGCCGGATGAGGAGTTAACTTGTCTTTCCCAGTTAAGAGGTTAAAAAAGGAGGCAACCGTTGGATTGACGCATGCGAGCCAGTTCCGTTTTTGCATTGCGACTGTTTAATATTTAACGTGTGCTCGCACGCGCCACTATTTTCGTCTCGAATCCTTCGGGCAACAACAGCGCCTGTTCATGGCCGGCGCGTGGTGTTCTCCACGCAGTGGACGCAGGAAAACCGTTTCTGTCGCGTCGTTCGACCGTTGAGCAATCTGCATAATTTGTCGGAGCGTTGGCAAACAGAGCGGGCAACAATGTAAGATTAAGGTACGACAGGATGAGCCGCCTGCCTGTCTGGCTCGTCGATCACGCTCATCGCCGTTCCTCGTTGCAACCTAACGATTTCACGCGCTTCTTGCAGTTGCACTTCGCTCCTTTCTGTCTTGAGTACCTCTTCCAATTGCTGTTTCGCACGGTTCGTTCAGGCAGCCATCGATTATCGGCTCGTTCTGCCAGTGTTACTCCACGTTAGAAAGCTACCTATCCTCTCACACCAATATTTAATATTTTTATATTTTTATATTTTATATTTTATATTCGATTTTCTGCCATAAAGCCACCGATGTCTTTTGGAAGAGTAAATAAAAAATCGTGTAATAAAGAACACGTAAAATTATTTAATTTCAATATTTCGCACACTATTACGTTATCTTAAATTTAATAAATTAATTAATATCGATCTTCAAAATTTTATTAAATGATGACTGAATATCTGCTCTCAAGTGCAAAGTGTTAATATTCTTATACTTTTATATTTGAATATTAATTTCATTCGCACGTAGATATTCCTAAGAATTTCGTCTTACATTTGACATTTTTAAATACATATATCATCAGTAAACATTTACTCGAATTGGTTCCTGTCAACCAATTGTCTCTTGAAATATTATATACATCAAACACCTAAAATAATCGAGAATTATAAAAAGGATATTAAAAAATAATTAGGAATGCATGCTGTTAATATTCAATATCTTTAATATTTTTTCTTTTTTCTTTTCTTTCGTACATTTCACATGTTTCGTGCTTTATTTAACACACGTTCATCTTCCATTAATATTTCATTAACAAATCAGTATAAATTACTAATAAAACGATATTTAAGTCCGTATTCATCAAAAGAAAAATTACTAAGTACTTATTTTATTACAAATACTCTCACGACGTACATACGTACATTAACCCTTTGCACTCGACGATATATTGGCTAGAGAAGAGTAAAAATTCATAGATTATCTACTAAAAAACTGACGATACTTTTTTAGCAGTAAATAAAGAATTGTATAATAATAGAATCGTAGAATTATTTGATTTCGATACCTCGTACATTGTTACGTTACATTAAATTTGACATATTAATTAATATCTATCTTCCAAATTTTATGAAATGGTGACTGAAGGTCACCTCTCGAGTGCAAAGGGTTACAAATCACATTAACACATACATCGAAGTACTTCATTTCCCGTAGTATATCTACACCTCGTACAAATTTTACACTTTCCAGTTTCCAGTTCGGACCACTCGATACTAATAAAATTTCAATCATAAAATACCTCGTGGTCGAACAAATTCCCGAAAGATAGGAAACGAAGATCGAGCCTATCGAGCGTGAAAATCAACGGATCGCGCCGCATCAGCGATGGGTCATAGTCGGAAGAGTGGAGGTCGGTCTTGCTCCATCGAATTTTTCCCCATTCTGGTGGAAAGGTCCGCGTTATAGGTATCGATGCACCATCGTTGCAGAAACGGGACCCAAAGCTCGGTATCAAAGTTCGAACGTTATCATTGACCCAGTTGCCGGAGCCACAAAGGCGGAAAGCAGTTGTATATCGGCTCGGCTACTCTTTATCCTCTCGCAACAATCGAAAGTTATGTGCCCCGTTTACCTTTTCCCGGGGTTGCATCCTTCGAAGAGCGGAAATCGGCTCGCATTTGCGTAACCCAACGCGGCGAATGCATATGGCGAATGGGGTAATCCCCGAGTACCTCCGTTCCACGGTGCAGCAGTCAAAAGGAGTTATTCTCCTGTTGCGAGAACAAATTCGGACCACGAACGAGTAAAGTTGAAATTTTATAGGTTGTTAAACAAGAAGATTCTCGAATGCTGGTTTCTTTATGATGGTGATACAGAAGCTCGAAGGGAACTTCGAAATTTATAGAGGATGTCTGGTAACTGGTGGTACAAGCACGCAGGAGGCGGTTCTACGTTTAAAAATAAGTCGAAAAGCAATAAAAAGTTTGTTCATACGAGGCCTCTTTTTCGAGAAAATTGCTTTCGAAAATGCGCGGGAAATTCGAAAGTATGTTTGAGAGGAAACACAGGTTTTTAATTAAGGATTGTAAATATTGCTCGACAATGAAGACGCGTTGTACTTTCGTGTAATGCTCCATTCTTGATAACTCTGAACTGTCAGCTGTCATGCTGTCGTTCTTTTTTCGTTGGCAATACTTTATCGCGCAAATGGCGCGAAATTCAAATCGTGCGTGAATTTTGAAACACCTTATATGTGTGGTGTGTGTATATATATATATATTTGTAAGTACTAGAAATACTAATGAACATGAATGTATATAGTCCATAATGAAATTCGTTACGTTAGAACTTGAATGAAAGATTTTTTCGAAAATAAAGACGTTAATTGAAAATATATATTTAGGAAATTCCGAAATCAGTGGTCAGTGCCCGCCATTGAGATTTCCCAAATTTTTGTATAAACTAATAAAAATAAATATAAATAAAAATAATAAAATAATAAAAATAAATATAAATTAATGAACTATAACTCGCATTATCCGTTAAAAATCGAACGTGTAATACTCGAAAAAATTTATATAATTGCCTAATTTTTTAATTTCCTCGAATTTCATGACATGCTTCCGAAAATCGTTTGTCGATACTCGAGAAAATATCGTATTCGTGATCATTGAATTTCCTCGAGTTCGAAATCATTCTCGACCAAACGCATATCTTTATTTCGTTGATTTATCATACAGGAAACGCGTATTTTCGGACGGATTGTTTCACCGTTGTGTCACGTTTTCGTCGTTGCAACAGGTCGTGAATTATCGCTCAATGCAACGAGCGCAAGATAATGCGGAAAACCGTTCTCGAATCTCAGATGGGTGTATTGTTTGAAAGCAATTTCACACCATTTTTCTAATGGTCACGCACCAAGTAGTGCATGGAACACTTTACCTCAATCTTCTCTACAACTATTTCCTCATTGAATAGGCTGCGCTTTCTATTACCGCAAACCCATCACGGAATACTTCCTTTCAATTACGATACACCCGGCGTAACGATTCATGAAGCAAGGTGCACGGGAATCACACTGAATCAAATATCGATAACTTGGTGTGAAACGAAGCTCTCGTTTCCATTAAGCCCCGGCTCGTTCGTGTCCCACAATTAAAGAGTTTACCGTGAAATTGACGATTACATACATTAAACGAAGATCGTTGTGTCGGCTTTCACGAATTGTGTCGTTGTAAAAAATATTAATCCAGGTGTCGATGATAAATGGATGATTCTGCATGGTGTGTAATAAAAATCTGGACCCATATGTAGTCAATTGAATCCGCATGAGATGATAATGGTGGATTGTCAGGGTTTCCAATGTCAATTTTTATGCGTTGAACACCTCAGCTGTATCGGTGTTATAATTTTTATATCTCGATGCAATTCATAATCTTGTTGCTTTCTTCATTCTACAATATTTCTGAAAATTATTTGTAACTGTAATTACATTAATTAATACAGCTGATTTAATATAGGTATTAGTGACCGTAATGTACAATAATTAATTTAATGTAATGATTATAAATAGTAATTTAATATAATAATTTAATGTAATAAATTAGAATATATTTCTGGCTTACTGTATCACATATGATATAGGTGAGAACGTAATGAATTTCGCTTTAAAAAATGTTGCTATGATTTTAATAAATTTTATATTCGAAGCATCCATCTATCCCGCCCTGCTCTGGTAAACGTCGGTTATTCTCTTCTAATATTTAAAAGTCAAAGTTGCTAAGATGATCGTAATATTTAAATTAATATCAGTAATTAGGAGAAGAATATTCATTCGTAATTTATTTACTTAATTACCTTATTAATAAACGCCGGATCCCTGAACGAAAATTACTTGGGCGAAGCTGACGGAGGAAAAGATTTCGAGCTGCTCCCAAAATTAACAAGAGCGTCCTCGATGGTCCTAATGACCCTAACACTTCTCAGCGATTAATCAGACTGAGCGTTGAGTTGATACACGGCCAAACTAGAACCGACATTCTGACCGTGCTATATGTATTCCTGTTTAAATAATTCTCACGTTGGCCAGCCTCTGACACAGCTCGACCCTTTTGTAGCTCATTTGCAACTTTATTTTGAAGTTAACCCGAAGTTACCTCGAGCACGCAGTCCAATTGGCCTTAAAGACTTAAATTTAACCTTTTGCTAACGAAAATCTCGGAAACCCTCTAACACGCTCTATCCATGCAGATGTCCCAGAATATATTTTCACTGTACGTGATTCTGAAGATGTCAATCCTGGTGAGCTTTTGTTAATTGTGTGGCTGTTGTGTAGCTTGAATCACTGCTTGGCGATAGACTTTGTAAAAAGTACTAAAAAAGAAAATAATAATTCTGTGTTGAAAATATTTCTTATGTTTTAATATCAGTAATAACTGTAATCTTAATTGTATCAAAATAAAAAGTGAAAAGTTTAATTCATTTAAGAGATATTCCTTACAATATAACAATAAGTTAACTCATCAGTTTCTTGCAGATAAGACACTCCATTTGTGATAGATAACCTTCAATAAAAGCTAGAAAAGAAATAGAAATATTTTATTTATTCGCACTATTTTCGTGTTAGGTTAAAAAATATTCTTACCTGTTGCATAAGACTTCTATACCCAAAGAGCCATGTGGAACCATTAAGACTAATACCAATACCCACTGGAACATGTAGAAAAATATATATTTATATAAGACGCAAATACATATTTAAAAATATATAATTTACCGCCAATCCACGACTAAGTCATGCAGAAAAACTCATTTGTCCTATAGAGACACCAGCAAACTGGTAATAACACGTTAACGTAATAACTCATCCAGACGATGAAACACCGCCATCTATCTTTCATTTCTTCAAGCAACAAACCCCTCGCGACTGTCGCGACCTCTGCGTCCATGCCGAACAAAATTGGTCGTACTGTCTCGTACACAAAGGGTTGCCGCTGGAAATTGATTAGCGTCGATTGCCAGCGTTCCGTGGCTCGGAAGTTGAAGATCGGACTCGACGGACAATTACCTAAGGGAGCGCAGTTCCATGCGTCGTTACGTCAATGTTACGCGCGCCGGTCGAGTATGAATAATGCAATTTTGATTCGCGCGAGCCGGTCGAGCAAGGAAATTAAATTAACGCCGTAACATGGAGGCTCGAAGCGTGGCCGTGTTAGCTAAAAAATGCTGTCCCGCCGCGCGAAGAATTTTGAAAGCGTATTAAAGTTGAAGGAACGCGCCGGATTGTTTGGGATATTGGCTAGGGAATTATCCGCGAGAGGGACAGAGCGCGCGGCGAGGAGTGGGGATGGGAAAGGTTATAGGGGAAGCGAAGTATAAAAATGTAGAACGCGTTCGTCCTGAACGAGATGCCTGTTCGTTTGGCCTGTTTGTTAAAAAATTCACTTCGTTTTCAATCATCCGTGATCCGAGCTCGTGTAGAATTACCGGCGCGAACGTGTGTATTTATGTACGTGGCCTGGCGGATCGATTAACGAGCTTACTGTGGAATTACCTACCTGGATGGTACGGTTGGCGGAATATTTTTGTTATTTTTACGAATGATAAATTGATAGTCTGAATGGATGGTGTATGCTTGATGGGTACGGTAGCCTATATCGGTAGAAAAAGACTGGAGAATAAACTTTCTTATGACCTTCGGTATCTTGCCGAGTGAACTGATTAATAGATGATGGTGCGATTTATCTTGCTCGTCACTCCCTGGTAGTCGAGATGGCGCGTCGAGCGTTGATTTTAAGATACCTATAGAGTCCAATGCTGTTCCAGGTGATATTCTAAGGGGTCTGAATTGAATGTGACTTTAGATTGACAAAGTTCAACGGTGGATGTTTAGGTTTATGATTATTAATTCTACTGGATGATTAAAGTAAATACCTCGTTGGTAGAATGTGATGTTACATTCTGGGTGGTTCACCATATCCATATGAGACATAGGCTTTTACATTGGTATGCGAAATACAAATCGCTTCACACGGAATGACATAACGCTTACATCTTTGACATTTTTCTTAATGAACGATCTGGGCACAGCAAAAAACTTGGTACTAGTCATTGCGTGGCATTCCTTTTATAACGTACAGTGTTACACAAGAAATGAACGGCTGTGATATTTCACCGGATGAAAACACGACGGGGTTGGTCCAACAATATGGCGAGCTGTCGATCGTACGTGGTGCGTGCAACCGTGTTGCTTTTATAATTACCGCACGCCGTCCCACCTGGCCAAGTGTGCGGCACACGCAGGTTAATGAGCCCCGCTCTCAGCTCGGTGACGTTTCTAATGCGCTTCCGAGATACCTTGCACGCCCACGTGTCTCCAATCCCACGTAACTACGTGGGTACACGCACCTACCCGGTGCTCGAGAAGCAATGTCTTTTTTCTCCTTTTTTGCTCTTTCACTTTCACTGAATAGATCGAACTTAAGAGCTTCGCGTGCTTCGTTAAAATGCACACCTTTATTTTGTCAATTCGATTCATTTTATTAGCCAAGCCGTTTAATACTAGTGTAAAAATAGTATTCAAAATTGTAATCTCTTTTCCTCTTCTTTTTCGAATAGAAGTATACAGTTGAAAGATTTCTTGCAGTTCCTGGAATTATTTGAAGTTGAATTCTTATTAATAAATTGTAGAATATTCAGTTACCTAACTTCATTTTAAATAGTTTAAGTAGTTGTACGAAAATTTGTTTTGTTTTGAAATGAAAAGGCGTTAGTTAAAATATCGATTGTCTCTTGGATATGGCAAAGATAAGAATCACAGTCTGACACGAGTAATGTGGAATGGACGAAATCAGTTAGTGTTTTATCTAGAATTATCATGGACACTTCTCTATATTGATATGTTATCAGTACCTCTAATGTTAATGGAAATGTATTATCGGTCCATTTAGGATAAGTGGATGTCGATTATTGACTCAAGCAATATTTCAATTTTAACGGTTTGTTTACTTTCCAAAGAGGAACGATTTGCAAGGCGCATGGTCAATGCACTAAACGAGGGTGAAAGTAGCATTGTACCATAACTGTGGTTTCAAACCGTTACACGATTTGAATCTTTGTATAATTTCGTGATTAGCATAGTTTCACGAAGTTCAGACGTTCAGGGTATTGTGCGAAGGTGTCTGATGGTCTCCTTTTGGACCGTGAAAGGTTTCCACGATAAAGTGTACTATGGTGCCAGGTTCCTCTTGGGGAAAGGTGCCGCAGCATTTAGGTTTCCGGGTGTTTTCCTCGTAGAGATTTTTCCTCCAGAAAGATTTCCGTGTTTCACGTATAAACACACGTGAAAGGACGCTTGAATATGTTAATCCTACACAATTGGGGGCCAGGCGTCTTGCGTTGGTGTGCTTTTACCACAAGTACGAGAGATAGTAACTCTTTTTGATTAGGTTGAAAGAAATTTATAATTTGAATAAATTAGCTGGAAATCTGTGAAAGTAGTATTTATGAAGTATTTCTCATTAATTTGCCAGATAACAGTAATAGCAGATTCGTTATAAAACACTTACCAAACATAAATATGGTTGTTATAAGTTGATTAGTTGTTACAAGTAGATAGTTGTATGTAGGTGGCAGTCGTTTCGAGTATAAACAGCACTTAAAAAGAAAAATTGATTACTAACGTGTCCAGTTAATGATTTAGGTTTGGGTACAGTAACGTGACTTGAATCTGAAATCAGACATAGAATAATAAAAAAAGGAAACTTCTTAGAGTATGTTCTTTCTCACATATACATTGTTCATACTAAGATACCTGACATAAATTTTTCATTTTATGTAGTCATTGTCGATAATTTTTATTTCTTTTCTTCCTCTGTTCCAAATTTCTCTACACCCTCTCTTTCAGTATCTAAAATAAAAAATATAATTAATATTTGGGTTAAGTTATTGTTTACAAATTAGATATTTTAGGTTAAGGAACTATATAAATCTACATTGTAATTAATTTAAAAACTATAAATAAAATAACAATAATACGTATCAAAAGAAATAACAAATTTAAGTCTAAAGATATAAAAAAGTTTTGGAGGTTATGTTCCGAACACCCCGTAGGTGATAGGTCGAAACAGTTGCGTCGCGCTCAAAGTATCGCATTAGAAAGGCGCGTGGCTGCAGCCAAGAGATGTCACAAGGTAAACCGCATGCATAACTCGAATATAGGGAATTATTGAACATATGTACCTATCTCTCGAAGATCGAAGCACACTGACATCGTTCGACTTGGAACGCTCTACCGTCCTTGGGAAAAATCCGTTCTTGCAAACGTATCTTTTTTACTCTGCACTTTTTATTTGACTCATTTCCCTTTTGCTACCAGAGCATTCTATATCTTCAGTTTCTCTGTTTCTTTGTAAAACAAGCGGAAGACTATGACGAAACGTCAACATATATCGTTCGAGGTAACATTCAAACAGACTTGTAGACATCCTGTTAAAAAATTTAGAACTACTATCTCGTTTATTAACTCGGTCGGTAATAGTATACCAACAAAATGAATAGATAGCAACAGAGGATAACTGTAGTGTTCCGTGCACTATAAATATCATATAGATACCTTCTGCGAAGTGTCCAAATTATCAATATGGTTATCAGAAATTTTGTAACATTAAAGTCTTTTATATAACCCTCTTTAGCTCTCTTTTCTAAAAATCTATTTAAAGTTGTACGAAGCAGAACATTATTACTTGTCGACAGAAAACAAGGTACCCTCGATATCTTTGATTTTCGAATTCGAGGGTCAAACGGATTTGGCTTGCTGTATCGGTTGTCACGCGAATGTTGGCCGCCCGTGAATCCTCGCGTTTTATTTATGATTTTCGAACCATTTGGTGCCGCCTGGCAAAGGTCCGGGTCGAGGAGAAAACGAAAAGAGAATAAAAAGGGAAAGAAAAAAAGAGGGTCAGAGAGGAAGACGAAGAGGAGAGCGCGCAGGATTACAATTTATACGAGCATCAGCCAGGAGAGGGCTCTGCTCGTCTCTCGGTTATTCCACTCGCCTGCTTTTTATTTATACCGATGCAGCGATGCGAGTCATGCGATCGCCGGTCGATAATAATTTTTCATTACACGAGGTCGATCGAGCGCGGCACCGTTGTGAAACGTGAGAGACCCCAACTTCGATGTCGACCATTTTTCTTTCTGTAGCGATGTCTCGATCGGTAAAACATTGAAAGACCTCTTTTGCAGAATACCGTTCATCCTGTCGCAATTTCAATTTTGGGGATTGCTATTTCCTTATTTGGCAGTATATTTTATATTTTCGTATTGTACGATTATGAAAGTAAATCTCTTCGTGTTTTCGAGGAGAGATGCAGTGCTGTACCATCGATGATATAGTACCATACTGTATGCACCGACCAATGGTACACAGTTAGTTTTCATTTGAAATTATCAAGGTTGAAAATTTTGAACAAATCCCGTTTAAATTCTGAAATTATTATTTTCATTTGTCTAATGTTACTTAAATTTATCATGCATTAAAATTACTTCAACGAATCAAGCAGACATTTCTGTCGCTTAACCGGTAACTAAAATTACACTGTATCCAGCGCGACCAACGTTTACATCAGTAACTACATATACAGAAATTTCACGTTGACATCTGTAGAGCTTGTAACTTACCTAAACCAGTAACTCTTGGGCCAATGACCACTAGTAGTCGCTTCCTATTAACGCAAACGAGGAAACGCAGACAAGCCTAATCGAGCAGCTCGAATTCCATTA